CACTTAGTTGTGAAGGTCTCAAATGATAGATTATATTAAACATTTACCATGGAAATAACGATAGAAACGCGGCAGGTTTGCGATGTTTCGTTTTGAGTATCCGTTTGGAAGGACTCCAGGGGAAAGGAGTTCCTATGTTACGGAAAATATAGGATGCACCCTAGGCGACATTTGGAGGCGGAACCTCTGCGTAGTCATATTCGGATAGAGATAAAAATTTGCTTCAAGGGTTTGCATCGTTTTGTAAACAGTAACAGCCCGGTAGTGAAAAATAGAAGAGACGGCTTTAAATTCCATTCGACTTTCTTACATTCCCTTACGCGCCAATAACCTTGGGAAAGGTATAAATCTGTCTTTTCTCCACCCCCAGCTATGGGTTAAATAACAGGAGAGACTGGGTCATATAGTCTTAGCTGGCCACCGGTCTACTGTAGAAAGAAACGGCAAACTACCGTTTGATCCAATCACGTATGGTAATCAACTGATTCAGTTCAGTTATTATAGGGCAGACGCATTATTTAGAACAGCGGTTCCTATAATTATGGAGAGTTGCCGCTTCCTTGCGCACCAAAACACAACCCCAACACCGTACTGTATATAGTCAGCGTTTGGTTTATTTTGTTTTACGGCATATCAACCTCAATGTGTTATTTAATGCCGACAACATTTTTAGGATAGATTCGTATGAATAGAATATGTATTCTTTGGTTTAGATTGGTTTGGTTTATTTTGTTTTACGGCATATCAACCTCAATGGGTTATGTAATGCAGACAACATTTTTAGGATAGATTCGTATGAATAGAATATGTATTCTTTGGTTTAGATTGGTTTGGTTTATTTTGTTTTATGGCATATCAACCTCAATGGGTTATTTAATACCGGCAATATTTTAGGATAGGTTCATATGAATAGAATATGTATTCTTTGGTTTAGATTGGTTTGGTTTATTTTGTTTTACGGCATATCAACCTCATTGGGTTATTTAATGCCGACAACATTTTTAGGATAGATTCGTATGAATAGAATATGTATTCTTTGGTTTAGATTGGTTTGGTTTATTTTGTTTTTACGGGCATATGAACCTCAATGGGTTATTTAATGCCGACAACATTTTAGGATAGATTCGTATGAATAGAATATGTATTCTTTGGTTTAGATTGGTTTGGTTTATTTTTGTTTTACGGCATATCAACCTCATTGGGTTATTTAATGCCGACAACATTTTTAGGATAGATTCGTATGAATAGAATATGTATTCTTTGGTTTAGATTGGTTTGGTTTATT